GTAAGGGAGATCTACCAGAAGCTAGGGCATTGGAGTGAGGAGTGGAATCTCAATGCTCCTCTCCTCTGCCTGCACGTTGGAATCATTCTCCCCTGCTACAGCCAGACTTCCTCCATGTAGCCAGGGAAGATGGCCATGAGCAAGGCCATGCTGTCACTCCAAGTAAACAATTCCAACAGAAAAGAGAAAGCAATTTCCTTCCAGCCTCCTTACAGCAATTTTCAGAAAGAATTTTAATTGGCCTTGCTAAGGTCACATGTTCAATCTTTTGCTCCAATCAGCTTCCAAGGATGTAGAGCTCTATGATGGGCTAAGTAATACCATTGTTGGCATTGAAATGCACCTACCAGATTCTCCTCAAGAAAAGACTGGTTGCCCAGCTGCAAGGAGTGTGGTTAGATAGTAGTTTTGTCTGATGGTGTTCTGGTGGCTCCCATGCTCAATTCTTCTTCCTCTTTTCTTTTCACAGATGTTACCCTCCAATAATCTTTCACAAACCTAACCAACCTGGGATGGGACCCATGCCCTCCGTGGGGCCTGCACCACACCACCAGAGCCATATATAATGTGGGTGAACAGGCTTTTCAAAGAAATGAATAATTTGTGTTTAATAATTATTTATAAACAATTGTAAGACAGGTTGTTTTGAGCAATGGTGTGCTAACAATCATGGTAATGATAACTCAAACCAGAATAAACTTTTGATATTTAGATTTTTATTTTATTTTATTTTTATTTTTTAGAGATGGGGTCTCATTCTGTCACCCAGACTCAAGTGCAGTGGCATGATCATAAAAAGAGCTTAATTTATATGATATGCCTGCTTTTGCTGCAGAGAGCTCTGACAGAGTGATGAAATAAAAGACTTTCAGAAATAAAAATATCTACATTAGGATAATATTCTGTGGGAAAATCATAAGTGAAATGCAAGTTGGTGAGGAACAGGAACAATGTAAAATTTCTGACTACTAAAGAATTTGTTTGAGCATTTTTTAAATAGGTGTGTATGGGTAGTAAATTGCCATGGAGAAATCTGGAGCTGAAAAGCTAGCACAGGGGGCCAGCCACCACCAAAAAAAGGGGTATGTACTCCTCTGGGATTCTCAGAAATACTTTCAGAATGAATGGGAGCCTAATAATGCCTCAACATCTTGAAGTTGGGACCTCAAATTATTGTTATTGGTATTGAGAGGAACAGAGACCCCTATGAACACTTAAGAATAAGGAGACATGGAGGTTCCATTATCTACGTATACGTATTACTACTTTTCAGTTGAAAATAAGTACCATATTAATTAATTAAGAATACGTTGCCTTGGCTGGGCATGGTGGCTCTCGCCTGTAATCCCAGCACTTTGGGAGGCTGAGATGGGCGGACCATGAGGTCAGGGGTTTGAGACCAGCCTGGCCAATACTGTGAAACCACATCTCTACTAAAAATACAAAAATTAGCTGGGTGTGGTGGCATGCGCCTGTAGTCCCTGCTACTCAGGAGGCAGAGGCAGGAGAATTGCTTGAACCTGGAGGCAGAGGTTGCAGTGAGCCTAGACTATGCAATCGCACTCCAGCCTTGGCAACAGAGCAAGACTGTGTCTCAAAAAAAAAAAAAAAAAATTGCCTTAATCCATTCAAGAATCCCTACAATCACCTCCTGCCTAGCATAAGTTAGCACTGCTGAAGGTCTGATAAATACATGTGTTGGCCAGGTGCCGTGGCACACGCCTGTAATTCCAGTACTTTGAGAGGTGCTGGAAATTCCTTATGGCAATCAAAGGTATTTGAAAAACCATTCCAATTTAGTATATAATAAAAGTGACAAGTCAGTCAGGAAAAGATAAACTTTGTGATAAGCAGCATTGTTATAACTGTATAATCTTAAAGCTAAAATTGGATCTGTTTCTCATATTGTATATGAGAATAAATTCAAATTAGATGAGAGATTTAAATGTAAATAAGCCATACAAGACCTAGAAGAAAATGAGTAAATTCCTTTATAATCTAAAAGTGAGGTAAATTTTCCTAAGACATTTCAAAAGAAATGAGGATAATTTCTAATCTTGTGGCTAGTAAATAAAAATAAAAGAAAGAAGAGGAAAGATTAACCATTTTTACTATATAAAACCTTAATTTTAAAAATGCATAGCAAAAAACGAGCAAAGTATGAATTTTAAATCACTTGGTATTTTATCCTTAAAATATGTGTCTATTTCTTTGCTCTAACTCCTGAAAAAGTCCAGTGACAATGAGCACCTTTTGTATCTAAATTATGGTCTCTAAATAACATTTCCCACTGAAAGGAGCCAAGACTCCTTGGGAAAATTGTCAATTTCAGGTCCGAGTCAGAAAATATATAAATTGATCTGGAAACATCGTGTCATACAAGAAAGCAAGCAATGTTTTAAAAGAACAATTTTAGTGTTAATGGGCCAGGTACAGTGGCTCACTGTTATCCCAGCAGTTTGGGAGGCCTCGGTGAACAGATTACTTGAGGTCAGAAGTTTGAGACCAGCCTGGCCAACATGGTGAAACCCCATCACAACTGAAAAAACAAAACTTAGTCAGGTATGGTGGCACATGCCTGTAATCCCAGCTACTCAGGAGGCTGAGCCATAAGAATCGCTTGAACCTGGGAGGCAGAGGTTGCAGTGAGCCAAGATCACGTCACTACACTCCAGCCTGGGTGACAATGCAAGACTCCCTCTATAAAAATAAAATAACTACAATGGATCAAAATGCACTAAATATGTTTAAATTCATGAGTTCATAATGAAACTAAAAAAAATTTAAGTCATTGGATACTTTTGAAAAATGCTAGGAAACAACTCATTATTTTGAAAACTGGTAAATAGGCTGAGCATGGTGGCTCATGCCTGTAATCCCAGCACTTTAGGAGGCCAAGGCGAGCAGATCACAAGATCAGGAGTTCGAGACCAGCCTGACCAACACGTCTCTACTAAAGACACACAAAAATTTAGCCAAGTGTGGTGGTGCATGCCTGTAATCCCAGCTACTCAGGAGGCTGAGACAGAAGAATCACTTGAACCTGGGAGGTGGAGGTTGCAGTGTCCTGGGATCACCCCACTGCACTCCAGCCTGGGTGACAGAGGCAGACTCTGTCTTAAAAAAAAAAAAAATTTAGAAGATGTAACTGGCTTTTATTTGCAATTCTAGATTCAAGCAACAATCATTCTATGAAATTGAGTGTTCTGGTGAGCTAAGCAGAGAAGTTTGACTTTATAAACAGAAAAGGGCTAAAGAAAGCAAAAACAGAGAAAAGGTAGATTGGTTGTTTCAAAGTTACTTTCCTCATAGGACTAAAACAGAGAGGACTTCCTTATTACACTGACTCAGGTTGAATGAAATCTCCTGGTTTTTGGAAAACTGGTCCATTTCAATGTTCAGTTTGATTATATGTCACTTAGCACAAGTGGCTTGATTCTGGTTTGGTCTCATCTGCTGGGGCTTAGAGAAGGAAGCTAGTCCAAAACACTGGCCTCATAAATTTTGTTTAACAAAACTTTTCAGAAATGAAAGTGAGGCCGGGCGCGGTGGCTCATGCCTGTAATTCCAGCACTTTGGGAGGCCGAGGCGGGTGGATCACGAGGTCAAGAGATCGAGACCAACCTGGTCAACATGGTGAAACTCCGTCTCTACTAAAAATACAAAAAATTAGCTGGGCATGGTGGTGCATGCCTGTAATCCCAGC